TGGGTACGACCTCGTACTTGTCTTGCTATACTACTAATTGCCCCGTACAATTGCGAGTTAACATAATATTAACAACACCGTGCTGGCACGCCGGCGCACAACCGCACCGCACCCAAAAGCAGGAAGCCGCGTGTCCACGCACATCCCTTCGGCCCGGAAACCCAGGCCGTGAGATTTGCGCGGCAGACAGGATCCCAGAAACAATCACTACTGACAGAGGCACATCCTTCATTTCCAAGGAAATCCAAGACTTTTCGGACGCCTACGGCATCAAGTTCGTACAGTCTAGTCCCTATTTCCCATGGGCAAACGGTCAGGCAGAATCTACTAACAAAGTTTTGATCAACATCATCAAAAAGATGGCCGAGAACAACCCTAGGGATTGGCACGAAAGGTTATCCAAGGCGCTTTGGGCAGATCGAACGTCGAAGAAAACATCCATCGGTACTACCCCTTTCGCATTAACATACGGCCACGATGCAGTTCTGCCAGTCGAAATCAATGTGCAATCTCTACGCATAGAAAGACAACCTGACATGGATGACACAGCTTATGTCGAGTCCATGATGAAGGAATTGGAGGAGTTAAGCCCGATTCGGGCCAAGGCCTTAAATCATCTCATGGTGGGTAAACAGGCGGTGGCTCGGGCTTATAACAAAAGGGTCCGAGGAAAGACGTTCGAAGAAGGAGAGCTCGTCTGGCGTGCTATTTTACCCCTAGGAGCCCACGTGTCAGGATTTGGGAAATGGAGCCCAACTTGGGAAGGTCCATTTGTGGTCCACAGAATCCTGGGAAAAGGGGATTACTTGCTGCAAGATAGGGACGGAACCCTTCACCAGCACCCTATAAACGGACAGTGGTTAAAGAAGTTTATTCCTTCTTTATGGGAAACAACAGGCATCGATCTTAGTAATGACTAAGGGGGAATAATGCATGATGCAAGATCTTGTATGCTAAGATGTTGTAACAAATTACCCACATCAAAGGGCGATCATATATAGACAAAAGGTTTTTGAAATTTCATTTAGCCCATTTGCAGTTCCATCATGCCAAGTTAATCATTCATCAACATAAGCAATTAAAGAGCAAATAAAAAGATTAGAAAAAACAACAAAGACGTCCGGGACAAGTTTAAACAAAGTTTACACCAACAGATCCAGCAAAGTCTTGATCTTGTCCGAAAAATGCAGCACCTCCACATGCAACCGATCAGTACGAATCTTCTCCCCACAGCTCCAGCCCAACATCCATGTCCGCCTTATCTGTTGGCTGCGCAAATCTCACGGCTTGGTGCTCCAGGCCGAGGGGAAATGCGTTAACACGTGATGTCCTTCTTTTGGATGCGGTGCGGTTGTGCGCGGGCGTGCCAGCATGGTCTACCGTGCGTCGAGAGGGTGATGTGGATGGAGTGGTTAAGTGGTGCGCCTGTTTGAGTTCGACTCCTAATCAAACGATTGTGGCCGAGAGAGGAACTGATCTCGGCCGTCAGTTTCACGGCCTGAGCTACAAGGCCGTTTAATGGTGGTGTTGATGGTGGGTTTTGGGCGGTGCTCCGGCGCGTTGCTCAGGAAGCGACGGTCGTATGATATATGGGGTGAATGAGAGAGTAACAGAGATGGTGCTCCGGCGCCTTGAAAATCAAGGGTCGTATGATATATTGATGAATGGATTCTCCTTACAATCTAACACTACTCCTAGGAAAGCAAGTAAAGATATTGAAAGTGCATGACAGGAAAATATAATTTGCTTGGTATTATAGGAAGAGCTCTTGGAGGAGTAATCGAGGCTGAAAACCTGCGTGGTGGAGCCTGATCAGAACAAGTGGGTAGTCCAATCGACATTTGGGATCGTGAAGCATGGTGGTGTGACCCCATAAATCCTGGTAAATCTCGGCCGCCGCCCTGATCGTGGGTTCTACGCCTCTGGCCGTGGAGACGCATTTATGGTTCTGATAGCTGGTGACCTAATATCTCAAGCTGTAAGAACATTTGTGAGAATGTTTGCGTCTAATCACTCTGATTCCCATTACCAAACCCTGACTTCAGTCACTTCCCATCTTCCCTCGTGCATTAAATGCTTTTTTTGTGGCCAGTGGGTTTGCTGCAATAAACAGACGCATTACTTCATTAAATGAAGTGTAGGACCCTGTTGCCACGTGGCGATGTGACCTTAGCATCTTCGACCGTGTGTTTTTCGCCCTTCGGCCTCGGCTTGATGATACCGTGGTTGTAAGGCCGAGATGACCATGCCTTCGCAATTTTCCTTTGTCTTTGGGAGGACAAAACGCCATGTTCCAGTTCGTGAGTAGGTGCTAGGGCCGAGCGGAAAGCTCCTTCGGTCATCTTTACGACCGTGATTTATTAGGTACAAACATTATCCAGATCTTCTTTGGCCAAGGACAAATTTGTGAGCATTTGGTCCGCCGCATCTTGAAGTTCCCTTTTCTGCACTAGCACTCTCGCCAATCGGGCCTCCGAAGTCTTCAGACGCCAACATACTTGCTTCAGCAGCACGTCCTGTTCAGTCAACTCCTGGAGCTGCGCTTCCATCACACCTTTCGCTTGGGCCAGCTCTGCCTCCAATCCAGGAAGAACATATTGCAACAGCGGATCATCGCGTTTGAATTTTCCAACAATAGTTTCCAAATCGGTCTTGGCAGTCTCGCAGAACGTTGCAAAATCAGAACAGGCACGGCAAATGGAGTCTAGAGCGTTAGAAACTTTGGCACCTTGCTCATCCATCACCTTTTCCTCCAAAGGAAGCACCAACCATTTCCCCAGCAATATCTTCTCTCTTGCATTTGAAATGAAAGTGCTGTCAGAACTCCCAGTCCCTAAGCTTCCAGGCGCCTTCGTACTCGCAGAACCAGAAGAAGGTTCGGTGGCTGGTGTGGAAACCGGTATTTCGGGCTCATTTTCTCGGACTCGGGGGGCGTCATCATCTGGGGCATTCCCTTCTTGGCCATTCTTCTCGGCCGGAATCTCTTCTGTAGGGCCTTCTGCCACAAGAACAGCTTCTTCGGGCACCCCCTCCTCAAGACCGACAACTTCAACTGGAATGGAAGAGTCGGGAGTCACCTGCAACCAACCCGCATGTCAGAAGATATTATCCAAGGATTATTGTACAGAAACACTTATTCGAACCAGGACCACACCTCAGTCCAAATGTCAACATCACTTGTGCCTCCTCCTCGGGCTTCCTTCACTTGTGGGACCAGCCCAGCAACCTGAGGGACCATGTATCATTATTATCGTATCCAAAAAAAAAAAAAAGAAAAAAAAAAGGGGTCATCGTTTACCTCAGCAACAGAGCCTTCTGCCAGCTTCGCTCCGGTAACTCTTTCCTCGGACCCATCTCTAGGCAGAGCAACGTCTAGCGGCTGAACCATCAAAGGAGAAGAAGAAGCAGGAACCTGCGCAACGAATCATAAGAGTAAGCAAAGCCCAGACAAAAAAAGAACAGAAACAAATCAGGAAAATGTAGAGGCCCACCGGAACAACCCCAGGAGCCTCGACAGAAGAAACCTTGGCCCGCTTGCTTGAAGCCACCTTGGATTGAACCTGTTCCCTTACACCACTCCCAGCTCCTTCTGGCTGAGACCTTTTCTTGGCAGCCACGCGAACACTTGTTCCGACCAATAATGGGGTTAGAACTTGGAAGCACAAAAATGGTTTATCCAGAAGTAAATTTTTTTTTTTACCTTGGGGAGAAGAAGACGGAAGTTCACTACCAGCCTGCGAAACAGGAGGAATGGAAGCTCTTTCCTTCTGTCTCCGTTGAACGAAAATAGGGGTCTCCAATCCACCGACAATCCCCTGCCCCAAAATGGTCAATTGGCTGGGCGTGCAGAAGGGCTGATAGTTGACCGAAACTGCATTGGAAGATAGAGATAATTATGAACACACCAAGAAAAGGGACAGAAATACATCTCTTACCAGTTAGGGATAGCCGGTTGTCTTCCGCAATCTGCTCAAGCAAAATCCGCTTGTCTTCACCTTTAAGATCTCGCCGAAAGGGACAATTCTTGAAAGCCCTCTGATACGCGTCACTCAGGGGTCCATACCTACTAAGACAATGATCCCACCAGACTTGGAAGGATTGAGTACAGCAGCAGTCAGGATGATAAGGCTTCAACTCCAGAATTCGGGCAGACTCCCTATTCCTGGCCCTTACGCCCAAGAGATCCTCCTTATTCAACCTAGGGAATCTGTAGGACGAACCCTTATTGATCAAGGAATAGTCCAATTCAGGAATCACTTGGGGCATCCAAATTGTCTGCTGAAGAACTGGGGACTGTAGGCTTCTACCCCGTACTGATAGTTTCTGGAGTCCATTCTCCCGCCACAAGGCAAGTCTCGCGTCTGTAGGCATGAGAAAATGTCCATATTCTCAGAGGCCATGGGAGCATTTCCACCTCGAGGACCCTGGTAAATGGGTCGATTTTCGAACCAAGGAGAACCCCTTTTGAGATTCATCATCCACTAGAAGGCATGCCTGGTTTTCCGACACAAAAAGAAGGTGAAACACTCTTCGGTAGTCTTTCCAGAAGCAGTACTCAAGAGTAGCTCCCTCAAGGGTACGACATTAGAAGCGACCCGCAACTTTCGAGCCCGCAATTCAGGAAAAGTCCACTGAAGCCAGACCTGAACCATCCATAAGGGTCCCTTCACGTTGAGATTGATGGGCTCCACCGTCGCCTCCCTCAAAGCTCTGTAGATGGAAGCCAGAATCAAGGGACCAGTAGCGATGTCTCTGTAGGAGGATAAACCCTCAGCCAGATGAAGCCACTCCATGGTGATGCAGTTGGAAGCGCTGGGGAAGATGAACCTGTTCAGCCAGTATAACAGGAACATCACATGCTCCCCATCAGGATAATCAACCTCCTGATCCATAAAGGTTCCCATGAAAGCACCATAGGCCCGATTGGACCCTATTAAACTGGTAAGGACTTCGAGATTCTTCTTTCTCTCCTTCTCTTGAGAAGGACTGTCCTGAAAATCCCCTAACCAGTCAGCACTCCGCCCGTGAGGACGAAACCCAAAGATCACTGCAAGATCAAGAATAGAAATCGACATTGGCCCGACCCCAAAATCGAAAGTGTTGGAGGCTCTATTCCAAAAGACCAGGGCCGAACCTAGAAGAGGGGAATCGGCCTGTGGCTGAACGACTGAGCAAGTGATGGCTTGATAGATGCCATTATCAAGCCAGCAAGCCCTGTAACGAGGCTCCATTCTCTTCACCCAATCTGCCCAACGAAGTTCGACACTCGACACGTCAATTTTTGGAAAGAACCGAGGGAGCATTTTGTTCCAATTCGACCAATCAATACCCCCTTTGCGGCAGGCCGGAATTGGAGCACGAACAGGATGCACCTCGTAGTTCCAAAGTTGATCAGACTTCTGATCAAAATACCGAGGGCCTAATATACAGTGGTCATTCGCAAAGCTGATGGTGTCTTTGCATAACAGGAACTGGGCACGGCCGACAGCAAACCTCTCAACCCACCCATCCCGGAAAGGAATGCCGGTCCAGAGGAAGCGGTTCCGGAAGAAGAAGTGTCAGGGGTAGAGGTTGAGGATTTCTTAGGCGCCATTTTTTTCAAAAAATACTGGGAACACACAGGAATTCAAAAGTTTGAAAGAAAGAAGGAAGTTGAAATTTTTCACTCTAGAAAAAGACTGACCCTTTTGACACGATCTCGAAAAGACAGGAAATGGAAAGGCGAAAGAAGGGGGAAGGCTCATGTCAGATATTTAAAACTCAAAGCGACCTTTCAATTCAGCCACCTGACAAGTCTCTGTCAGCGTGACACGTGCCCAAAAAGAAAAGGACATGATTTGTTTCGAGGCGCGACGCTCAATGAAACCGTGCTTAAGGACACGACGCGTAACGGACAAAAAGCCCACTTTATGAGAATAGG